TGGGTAACCCCAGACCCAAAAGAATAAAGAGAAAACATTTTTACACACACATACCCACATAAATAGATGTAGAAATGCACCATCCACTGAGACCTGGGGTAAATGTGAATTTGGTGAGTTGTTTCTTACTTCAGACATAACAGTCTTTCTTCACTTGGCCTCTGGGTCTCCACCCTCTCATTTTCTCTTGGGTTTCCTTCTATCTCACCGGTTCCTCTTTCTCAGTTTCCTTTTCTGATTTCTCATTTTCCCAGTCTCTTAAACATTAGAATGCCCCAGGCCAGTTCTCAAATCTCTATCCATGGTCAGGCATGGTGACTCATGTATGTAATCTCTGCACTTTGGGAGGCAGAGGCAGGCAGATCACAAGGTCAGGAGATTGATACCATCCTGACTAACATGGTGAAACCCTGTATCTACTAAAAAAATACAAAAATTAGCTGGACGTGGTGGCATGCACCTATAGTCCCAGCTACTCAGGAGGCTGAGGCAGGAGAATCACTTGAACCTGGGAGGCGGAGGTTGCAGTGAGCCGAAATCATGCCATCGCACTCCAGTGTAGGCGACAGAGCAAGACTTCATCTCAAAAAAAAAAAAAATCTCTACCCACACACACCTCCCAGGTGCCCCCAACTTTGAATACTCCCTAGCTTTGAACGCTATCAGCACACTAACAACTTCCAATGTTTAGTCCAGCTTTGTCCTCACTCCTGAACTCAGTGTACACAATTCACGGTTCAACACTCTACTTGTGTATCTGAATAGGCATCTCAAATTTAAAGAGAGACCAGAATTGAAATCTCTCCCTCTCACCTCTGAAATCTTAATTTTTCTCCCCAAACCTGCTAAATCCAACCTTGTAGTTGTTCAAGACAAAAATCTTAGAGCCATCCATGTTCCCCCTCATAATTCATATCCAGTCATCAGCAAACCTTTTTGCCTGAGTCTTCAACAGATACCTATCGTCTGACTACTTTTCCGCCTATTCTGCTACCACCCTGGTTCAAGCCACCAAACATTTCTTACCCGGATTACTGCAACAACCTCCATCTTTTACTTGGATAATTGCAACTGGTCTTTTGCCTTCTGCCCCTGCCACTCCCTATGGTCAAGCCCAGGCAGCTGGCTGTGATCCTTTACAGCAAACATAGAAGATACCATGTCATGCCTCTGATCACAACCCTCCAGTGGCTTCCATCTTACCAGAGTAAAAACAATCTGACCCACAGATACTCTTCTCCCTTGTGTCCTGCGCTTCTCCCTCCGCCCCCTCTGCCCCATCTACCTGGCCTTCTTCAAACAAGGCATACCTACTCTCTTCTCTCAAGGCCTTTACACTTGCTGTTTTCTCTGCCTATAATTCTTTTTTCATAGATACCAACATGACATTCTTTTTCTTCTTTCAAGTCTCTATTCTAATATCATCTTTTCAGATAGGCTTCCCCTACCTTCCCCATCCAAAATAGCACACACACACACCCTCACTCTGTTTTATTTTCCACAATCCTTATCATGGTTGTTGGTGATGTATGCTTTTTGTATGATTTATTGTTATTTTCTTCACGATAGAATGAAAACCCCATGAGGCCAGGGTAAAAGAGTGGGAGTGTGCGTGCGATAGAAAAGTCCTTTGTTCAGTGCTGTATCCCCTGGGCCTAGAACGGTGCCTCACACATAACAAGTACTCAAAAAACTTACGAATGAATTAATGAATAACATTATTTTGGTGAAATATTCGGTATATTTCAATAGGAAAATGTAAAATCAATAACCATTTGCTGAATGCCTTCTGCAAGGTGAATACTATGTTAATTTCATATTCAGAATGAAGTACAAAGACTAGTTGACATTCCATATGGATTTAAAATTAATTTAGAAAATATTAGTTTGACAATTCAAGATAAGTTTAGAAAAACTGACTATAGTAAATAAACTAGAGAAATAGAATCTTATTTTTTGTTAGTAATTCTTCTGACCCATTGTATTAAACTACTATGTATTTTAGGTTCTGCAGTATTTGGTTTTGGCCTCTAGAATTAATCCTTTGGCCCAGAAAATGCAAATTAGATTACCTCCAAGTTTCTGCTGGCAACCTTCCATCTCAAGCTTAGATAACAATCTCCTCTAGCTTTTAGTATTTTAGGGAGTTTCTTTGTCACATGAAGAGAGCTATGAAGACCGAGAAAACACAGACCTATACTTATAAGAAGAATCATAAGCACTTAAGAAGAAACATAGATCTACAATGATAACTGTTCTTTCATTCATCAGACATTTATTGAAATCTTACTATGATTCAGGGGCTGGACAAGGCATTTGGGAGGCAAGGATGAATGACACATGCCCACACCTTCAAGGAACCCACAAGGCAATCTGAGTGACAACCAGAGGACCTGATCTTCACAGTACAATGAGAGAGGGATGACCAGTGTGCTATGGCAGCCAATGCAAGAGCACCCAGCTCAGCCTGAAGAGTGCCAACAAGGCTTCCTACAGGACCTGCACCTCAGCTGAAGCTTGGGGTGAGATAAATTCCAGACAGAGGGTAGAGCATGCACAAAGCCACAGCAGCATGAATCTGTGTAAGATGTGTAGAAAACTACAGACTTCGAGGCAGGTCACTCTAGAGGTAAAGCTGGAAGGGAGAGCAGAGGGCAGAACACAGGGAACTTTATTTAGCATATTAAAGAGTGTGGCAGGCAGTAGGGAGCCACTGCAGCAGAGGGATGGGATTGGTATGTGGAAACATTAGGAGGGAGGAAGACCAGCAGGGAAGCTGTGGCCACTTTTAAATAAAAGGTGACACAGGTCTGAATTAGAGAAGGAGTGAAGATGGGCGATAAGAGGACAGACTTGGAAATACTGAGTCAAAAATCAAAAATCAGTGCGACTTGATGTTAGGGAGACTAGAGGGAGGCGGCAATGACAATCTTGAGGTTTTGATCCTGGAGGGTATTACCAAGTATTAATACAAGTGCAGATAGGGTCAGGAGGGAAGAGGATTTCATTTTTAGGTTAAACTTGAAACACTAAGGGAAAAGCATTCTATTTCTCCATTCACTAACTACCTATAAAGGAACTCTACGTGAATTTCCAAGTGTGAATTTGGAGGGAGAGGTCTAGATTTCAAAGAGTTGGGTATCATTGGCACATGGATATTCAGGAGTTAACCTATGAGATTGGTTGGCCCAGTACCTGGGACAAAGGAGGCTCTCAGTGGGTGCCTGTTGAAAAGAGTAAAGGAAGAGTTACTCTGCAAGAGCATGTAAAAAGAGAAGAGCTGGAAAGCAAAGATGAAACTCCAGAAACACAACGCTTCAGGGGTGGGTAAAGGAAGCAGAAAAGGAGTGGTCAGAAAGATGGTGTCACAGGGATAAAGAGAGATGGGCATAGGAACCAAATACACCCCACCTCGTCAGGTATCATAAGGGCTTGTACAATTCTGAGCCTTCTCCCATGTTAACATTTCTTCATGAATTATCCCTAAATTGAAAGTTAAGGTCAGGTGCGGTAGCTCAAACCTATAATCCCAGCACGTTAGAGGGCCAAGGCAGGCGGATTACTTAAACCCAGAAGTTTGCGACCAGCCTGGGCAACATGGTGAAGCCCTGTCTCTACAAAAAATACAAAAATTAGCCAGGCATGGTGGAATGTGCCTGTAGTCCCAGCTACTCTAGAGATTGAGGTGGGAGGATCGCCTTAGCCCAGGGAGGTCAAGGCTGCAGTGAGCCACTATTGCATCACTGCACTCCAGCTTCGGTAACAGAGTGAGACCCTGTCTCAAGATAAAAATAAAAAAAGAAAGTTTAGTAGGTCTCTAGATGGAAAATATAAATATTTATTTTTTCTAGAGCTTTGTTGCCTTCTAATCCAAGGGTTATTTGAGCAATGGTTGCATTTCTAGTTACCAATTTTAATTCCAAGTTTATGCCATTGTGCATTTTTGTTTTAAATAATTTTGGATACTTTTTTCCTCATTTATGATTATTTTCTATTCTTGGTGTTAACTCCCTAAAGCTAATTTAAACCAGAGCATGCAACTTTGTCAGTGTAAAAACAACTGAATGTCTAAGATTGGGTATAACATTTAGAATTATATTCATGTACTGATGAGAGAGATTGTGGCTTCTGGCCAATTTTATGTGAGTGTGATGATTACTGGCTGTAAATATCTATTTTTCATTTGTTTTAATTTCGTTTGTTTTTGCCTACCCAGCATCCATGCCCGATTCTGATATAAATAGCATCAAGTTTTTCTTGAAGAACCACTTCTCTCCAATTCCTAGTGCAACTGATTTCAGTAAAGCTGGCTCCACTGGGCTTCAGAAGGGGAGAAAATGCAGCCCAGAGTTCACCAACTCAACACTGCAAACCCATGGGCCCAGCAATTGGCTCAGGGATGAGCTTAAGACCCAGTCAGAGGCAATGAGATAGAATTCTTGGACTTGTCAGAACAACCAAAAGTACTCTTTGCTGAACTTGAAGCTGGATGTGGACCACTGTTCCCACAGCACACAGGGCATCATGGGAAAAGACTGTCAGAATAAAGTGAACACACAGGAAAGACAAGCTGAGAGATGAAGGGAGACCAAGTACTGAAGACATTCTTCGAGATCCTGTCTCTGACAATTCCTGAAGCTAGCATATTGCCATACTTCTCAAATATGTGAACCTATAAATGCCCTTTTCAAGGTTTGGTCATTTTTTTTTTTCTTCAATCGGAGTCTCACTCTGTCGCCCAGGCTGGAGTGCAGTGGCACAATCTCGGCTCACCGCAACCTCCACCTCCTGGATTCAAAGGATTGTCCCGCCTCAGCCTCCCCAGTAGCTGGGATTACAGGCACCTGCCACCATACCTGGCTGGTTTTTGTATTTTTAGTAGAGGCGGGGTTTCACCATGTTGGCCAGGCTGGTATCAAACTCCTGACCTCAGATGATTTGCCCTCCTCACCCTCCTAAAGTGCTGGGATTACCAGTGTGAGCCACTGGGCCCAGCCTGTCAATTTTTTTTTTAAATCTTTTCCACTACTTGCAACCAAAACATCCAGGGGAGAGATATCATTTGATCTCTACTTTCTCTGCCTCATCTACCAACAGGGACTCAAATGTCCAGGTTCATGCTTCTTCCCAGCGAGCCTATCATGCCTTCCACAGTGTGCTCAACATTTTCAGGTCAGCCCCTTATTACCTTCTGTGTCAAGCCCACTCTCCTTTACTTGCGCTCTGTGTCAGCGCTTGGTTCCTAAGCTGAATTCACAGCCTAAGCTGTGGGCCTCACTGCTTCCCATGGACACTTCCTGTTTATTATATTCACCTAGAACAGGCTCTTTCTCCCTTGCCAATCTGTTTGTTTTAGTAAGTAGAGGCAGAACTGGATGGAAGCCACTTCTGTCCCCAGGCTTAGAAAGCCCAATGCTAAATTGTTGGGCCTGGCTGCCACCCAACAGCACCGGTACATTCTGTTCAAGCTCAGACTCTCGGTCCGAATGTTGTACTTGCTGCTGCTTTTCCTCCCTGTCTCCCTGGACAGGTTTAGCCTGATGTTATTCCCAATTCTGTCATATCTATTGTTGCCATGCCACCCAGGACCTTTGTTATTTCCCCCGCAGGGATCTTGGGAATTTCTGTGAAATCATACGTTAGTGGTCTAGTGCAATCTAGCTTCCAAACACGGTTTCACAACCACTGCAGTGATATCCTCCCTTCTCAAATAAGGTTGTTTCTCCTTTTCCTGCCTCTGGACAGGCATGATAAGTCATTCATATCTGCCAAGAGAGAAAAATAGCTATCTTCAAAATTATATAAGAGAAGAATTTTTCCTTCAGCTTTCCCTGAAACACACAGCAATAACACAGACACAAAAGCTGCTCTGAGTAAAGGTGATGACTCGATCTCCTTTCTCTGCTTTATTATCTTTCTCTCATTCAATCAGTATAAATAGAGTAGCCTTTTATGTTCTTGTCAAGCCCTGGAGAATTGAATTGTAACCATTATTGATTCAACAAATATTTAATTGGGCACCTATTGCATGCCAGGCACTGTGCTACATAATGAGTTCGCAGAAGTGAATAAGACAGACATGGCTGGGTGTGGTGGCTCATGCCTATAATCCTAGCATTTTGGAAGGCCAAGGTGGGAGGATCACCTGAGGTCAGGAGTTTGAGATCAGTCTGGCCAACCTGGTGAAACCCCATCTCTACTAAAAAACACAAAAATTAGCTGGGCATGGTGGCAGGCACCTGTAATCCCAGCTACTTGGGAGGCTGAGGCAGGAGAATCACTTGAACCCAGGAGGCGGAGGTTGCAGTGAGCTGAGATTGCACCATTCCACTCCACCATGGGCGACAGAGTAAGACTCTATCTCAAAAAGAAAAGATAAACATGATCCCTGCTTCATTCAGATTAGAATCTGGTGAGGGTAGAGAAAAAACAGCAAATATGTAAACAAATAAATGAGCAAAATTTCAGACATGCTATCAAGAAAATACAAGGAGAGGCTGGGCATGGTGGCTCATGCCTGTAATCCCAGCACTTTGAGAGGCTAAGGCAGATGGATGACCTGCGGTCAGGAGTTCAAGACCAGCCTGGCCAACATGATAAAACCTCACCTCTACTAAAAATACAAAAATCAGCCAGGTGTGCTGGCAGGAACCTGTAATCCCAGCTACTCAGGAGGCTGAGGGAGGACAATCACTTGAACCCAGGAGGCAGAGGTTGCAATGAGCGTGATCATGCCTCTGCACTCCAGTCTGGGCAACAGAGTGAGACTCTGTCACACACACACACACACACACACACACACACACAAATGAGAGAAAGAGAGAGAGAAAGGAAAGAAAGGAAAGAACAAAGGAAGGAAGGAAGGAAGGAAGGAAGGAAGGAAGGAAGGAAGGAAGGAAGGAAGGGGAAGGAAGGGAAAGAAAGAAAGAAAGAAAGAGAAAGAAAGAAAAGAAAGAAGAAAGAAAGAAAAGAAAGAAAGAAAGAAAGAAAGAAAGAAAGAAAGAGAGAGAGAGAGAGAGAGAGAGAGAAAGAAAGAAAGAAAGAAAGAAAGAAAGAAAGAAAGAAAGAAAAAGAAAGAAAGAAAGAAAGAAAGAAAGAAAATACAAGGAGATAATGTATTTCAGAGTAAGGGGACTATTTTAGATAGTGTGATCAGAGAAGACTGCTCTGAAGAGGTAATATTTGAGATAAAATCCAGGGAAAAGAATGTACAAATGCATGGAGACCCACCCAGGAGAGCATTCCAGGAGGCAGCAGGTGCAAAGGTCCTGAGCCTGGAGCTGGCTTGTTACGTTAGAGAAGGAAGTTGGTAAAATACAGTCCAAGAAATAACAGAGGGATGTGGCCTGCCTTTTTTTCTGGACAGCCCACAGCTGAGAATGATTTTTACACTTCTAAATGGATGAAAAACAAAACAATAATATTTTGTGACGTGTGAAAATTATGTAAATTCAAATTTCAGTGACCATAAAGAAAATTTTTATTGGAACATAACCACACTCATTCATTTATTTATTTTCCATGGCTGGTTTTCATGCCTCATTGGCAGAGTTGAGTAGTTACAAAAGAGACCATGAGGCCTGTAAAGCCTGAAATATTTACGTCTAGACCTTTGCAGAAAAAGTGTACAGACTCTGTGTTAGGGGAATAGGAAGAAATATCTTCCCAAGCTTGAGAGAACCTTGAGTTCCTTGAATTCCTCAAGAATTCTTGAATTGTTTTGCCTATAAATAACAGAAAACCAGTGTCCAATTGACTTAAATAATGTGAAGGATTAAAATAGCCATAAAGTGATCACATTCCCATCAAGAGGTAAACTATATCCTCTTCCCTTGAATCTCAGTAGACTCTGTGACTGCTTTGACCCAAAGAATATGTCAGAAGTGATGCTGTGCTCTGGTCTTAAGAGATTAGCAACTTCTACTTCCTGTCTCTTAGAATACGCTCTCTAGAAGCCCTGCACCCTGGGGAAGAAGTCTGAGTACCCTAAGACCTCAGGACATGTTGAAGAGGTCACATATATGTGTTCTGGTTAAAGGTCCCAGCTGAACCTAGACTTGCAGCCAGCACTGCCAAGGTACCAAATATATGAGGGAAGCCATCTTGGACTCTAAAGACCAGTCCATCAGCCAGCTGAATCCTACTAAGGGACCTCAGTCAGTAATACATGGAATAGAAGAATTACCTAACTAAGTCCTTCCTGGCTTCCTGGCCTACAAAATTGTGAAATATAATCACATGGATGCTGTTTTAAGCCACTCCATGTTGTGGTAACTGTTTTATAGCAATAGACAACCAGAAGAAACAATACAGAAATCCTATTATCTCATATAAGAAGCAGCTCAGTGTACAGCGAGGGCCATCTAGAATATATCCAGCTATGCTTTTATGCAATGTCCTTGACTCTACTTTCCACTTTGGTTGGTTGAATTGTTAGACTGAGAGCAAGATGACTTGAGTAGTCCTGGAACTCACATTCAAACTTGACAATGTCTGGAGAGAGAAGACTGTTCTTAAGAAAGAGAAAATGTAGGCTAATCAGGATCTACTCTGGAACTGGGAATTGGGTTACCTCCCTTGAGTCACTGGGGAAGGGATGGACACCTGATCGTAATTGAAGTTCTATTAGAAAATAAGTAGGTGAGTGGATATTGGGTGAACAATGCACTTATGCAAAGTATCTGTCTTCCGCCATCATTCATTCATTCAACAATACATTCATCCAGAATAGTTTCAGTTTAATAATATGAATATGCTTCTCTGTAAGTCAAAAGTGGTAAAATAACCATAATTTCAAAAGGTTAAACAATCTTTGTCAAGCTTGTATGACAGTGGGAGGCATGGAGCTAGATGTTAGGACTATTAACATCTAATTTCATAGCAATTAAATGTGCTAAGTTCAAGAAAGGGAAAGGACAGGACCAGCTATGTAATCTGCAGAGCCCCGTGAAAAATGAAAATGGAGGACCCCTGGTTCAAAAAATATTCAGAATTTAAAGATGGTGACAGAAGAGCATTAAACAAAGCATGGAGTCCTTCTAAATGCAGAATGACTGTATATGTGGCGTGTCCATGAAGCTGACTCTGGGAAAGAACAGACGACCACAGAGAGGACAGCAAGGGCCCTAGTTTAGATTGAGCTGGGGGAAGAGGGTGTTAGGAAGGCCTCTCTGAGGAGTAATATTTAAGTAAGGACCTGAAAAGTGGAGAGGAGTACCCAGGTAAAGAGTGGAGGAATGCAGCTTCCTAGAAGAAAAATAGCACTCTCCCTTCTTCTCCATCCTCCAAGTTGGTTAAGAGACAGCATTATCCTGACTTCATCAGCTGTGATGATCAAGATAAAGGTAACAGATCCTTTTCCTGTTTGTGCCAGCTCGGGCCTATTTCCCACCCTTTTTGTATTCTAGACTTTGACACCTGGGTACCCTCCCCATAGAATTTGATCCTCCCCCTTTAATATTGTCGATAGTCAGGACCACCCTACAGGGATCCCAGCCTTGCTCCTTGCTCAATGCTTACTACGCTCAACACTTGATATGCTCAATGGCAGATGCTTTCTAGGAAACAGCCTAACCTGCCTGATCCACTTAGTACAGGCTTGTCACAAATGGGGAAAGACTTCCCCCTGTCCTCACATTCCCTCAAGCCTCAAACCATGAAATCGGCTAATACAAATTGGACCTCAAAAAATTTTATCAACAAACCCAAACCGTTCCCCTCAATTACTGCATTCATCCATTTTGCATTGCTATAAAGGAATACCCAAGACTGGGTAATTTAAGAAGAAAAGTTTATTTGCCTCATGTTTCTTCAGGCTGTACAAAAAGCATGGCACCAGCATTTGTTTCTGGTCAGGACTTTAGGAAGCTTTTACTCATGGAGGAAGGTGAAAGGAGAGAAGATGTGTCATATGGTGAGAGAGGAAGCAAGTGAGAGGGAGGAGGAGGTGCCAGGCTCTTTAAACAACCAGCTCTCATATGAACTAATGGAGTGAGAACTTACTCATTAGGGGGTGGAGGGCACCAAGCCATTCAGGAGGGACTTGCTTCCATGACCCAAACACTTCCCATTAGGCCCTACCTCCACCACTGGGGGATCACATTTCAACATGAGGTTTGGAGGGGACAAATATTCAAACTGTGTCATACCTTATTCCATTTTTAATTCTTCAATGTTCTTTTCCTCTATCAGATTCTACTGGAAATTTGATGATGTAGTGGGCCTCCAAGTTGGTTGTAAGCAGAATCAGACGAGAAGCTTATTAAAAATACAGATGCTCCAGCCCTATGCCAAACCTCGCTTCTCTATTTTTAACAAGCTCCACAGGTAATTCTGATGCACTGCCAAGTCCCTGAACCACTGCTTTAGCAGACTGGACAGAATAAGGAAAAGTTCCCATTGGACTGGTAGGAGTCAGAACATTTCCTTTCTGCCACTACCTTGTGGCTTCCTGGGCAGACCACTCTAATTAAGTTCCTCAGTTGTCCCTTTAAGTAAAGTGATGATTTCTCCATGACATCTCTGCCCTAGAAGCTTGCTGTAGTATGAAAGTGTTGATACCTTCCCATGATCTAGTCCCGCCTCAGGTGGCTGTGCCTCAGTTTCCTCGAGGAACTGCCTGCCCCTCTCCCACTGTAAGATGGCTTGGTAAAACTGTCCATCAAGGTGCTCTGCTGCCCCCTGGCTGCCCCCTGGGCCCAAGACCCAAGTTTGGCCAACCAGATTTTCTCTCCCAGGAAATGAAATGTTGAGAAAACTGAAGCCGAGACAAAATAAATGAAGTTGATTCAACTGGTATGGGTGACCCCAAAAATGTGTTAGTTTATACTTCCTAAGCTATTGTCCTGGTTGCTATGCTTTCTGAAACCTGGTTTTTCAGCCTTTCCCTCAGATCTGTAAGTAACCCTGATAGCCTTCTAACAAATTGTTTCATTTGCTTGAGTCAGAGTTAGTTCTGTTGCTTGCCACCAAAGAATTCTAACTGATTCTCACAATCAAAATACTTGATAGAGTGTTCTATGTACTAATGATGTCATAGCTTCCACTCTTATAAAGCCATTGTGAATGATTTTCTTGTAGCTAAAAGTGAGCATTCTATGGAAGGTCAAGAGTTTGTTTTAATAATGACATCTTTGTCCAGTAATTGCACACAGTGAAAATTTCCCGATAGGATAAGAGGTTATTCACTGACCTGCTGAAATATCTTCAGTGGAAACAGGCCTTGGGTAAATACTCTTCCTTTAAACAACGCTTTTTGTTCTGGACCCAGGGAAGGGAAGGACAAGAGAAAAAGGAAAAGAGTTTGGGCTCAGTTTAAACCAGCTCCCATTCAGCTGTATCTTCCCTTTACATACAAATTTAATAAAAAGTTGACTATGTATTTTTTAAAGGCTGGAAATTGCATCCAAATACACATTTTAAGGGGTGAGTATTACAGAGAAAACGGCTTTAGCGATTAAACCCTTTTCTCTCATCAGCCTCTGTTTTATTTCTAACCTTATCTGATTGTTAGTTTTTACTCTTGCTTATTGTTACTGACATCCTCACTATTTCTCATTTTTATCGACTGTGTTAACAGTTACTGAGCACTTCCTGTGAACCAGGCACGATGCTAGATGTTTAACACGCATTACCTCATTTAATCCTTACAGTGCCCTTCAAAGCCAGTATTATTATCCCCATTTTACAGAGGGGAAACTTGAAGGTCAGTGAGGTTAAGTAACAGCGCTAATGTGCAATGTGACCACTCATTTATTACCTGTATGTCCCTATCTGTCCCCAAGTCTTCCTTACACTGTGCCCCTGCCTTAAATTCAAAGTACCTGCTTAGTCCAAGGCATCATTGGAAAGAATATTAAATGTAGCATTGCATTTAAAAAAAAAATGACAACTGAACTCATTGCCCATGTCATGTTCTATCTTCCTGACTAGACTATAAGCTCCTTGAGGGCAAACACTATGCTTTGTCCACCACAGTATTACCAGTACATGGCTAGCACAGAGGAGGTTCTCAAAAAATGCTTATGGAATCAATGAATGTCCTGTAGGGTCCTCAGAATAAGGGACCATCACAGGGTTAGGAGAAAGTATCAAGAAATCCCTTTCTGGAAATAGAAATTCCAGGTTACCCTTAGTGAATTCAGCCAACTTGGAAGCATGGCCAAGCTTTTAAATAGCATTGGATGATTTCAAACTTGGAATCCTGGGCAGTGATTTCCCTTCCTGAAGAGCTGTTCCATCTTCTAGGCATAGTCATGCTTTGGCTTGAGTTTATGAGGAACAGAAGGTTCAAAAAATCTGATGGGGAAGTACAAGCTAAAAGGCCCAAGTACCAGTCATACTTTTCCCAGGGTAAGTGAGCTCTCAGAGATCTCAAAACCGGGTACCATGCTCTCCATCAAAAACTGGGAACATATTGTTATTTTATCATATTCAGAGATAATGACTAGAGATGATTTTTGGTTGACATAAGACTCACAACATATTCTTGGGTGAACTCTTCGTGTCTCAGTTCCTCGAATGGAAAACAGTCAAGTACATATACAGTCAAAATCTCTAAGTAGAGTCAGTCTCATTCATTGCCTGCTATTTAGTTCAGAATTTGACCTTTGGATTCAGATAAACCTGAGATTAGGCTTTGGCTTTGACTTGTATCAGCCATGTGACATTGAGCAGAACACAGTAGCTCTCAAAGCCTTAGCAGCCTCATCTCTTGTTCGGAAGATGGTAAATGTGATAATGTGTATAACATGTTAAACCAGTGCCAGGTACATGCTAGGCACTCAGTAAACAGGGACTTAGGTCCAGTGATATTTCTGCTGGCTTCACTTGCACATTACATTTTAAACAGTTGAAAAGCCCAGTGTGTTCTTGGTGTTTTAACTGGCAGGTGTGATCTACAGTCATCCTTCAACTAAATGGATTACTTTATCAACTTCAAAATCGTAAGGAAAATTAATTTAAACTAAGGCAATGAAGTGGCATAGACATACAAATGAAACATCTGTCCTGATCTCTGCCTTGGAAAAATGCAAAACACTATAACTCTATTATTCTTTCAAAGATTATTTTAACCATTTATTTAAAAAAATCAGCATTGTTATTGCATCTACCTTGACTGTTTCATTGTCCAAACTTTCTGTATCTATTTTAAGACTTAAATAGAAAGCAGGAAACAGGTTTGACTTTGAGCATAGTGAACAGAAGAAACATCACTCCTTTCTTAAAAGTGATGCTTAGCAGGCATTTTAAAATCCCCATCCTGTCTTGCTCTCACTAGATCACTGATCAGTACTCTACAGTTTCAAGCCAGATAATTCAAAGGCTCAGGATATCAGTTAGATCCCATTGACTATAGGTAGATCCATTTGAATTAGAAAAATTCTAATACTGATGAGAGAACCCTTTCCTGATGTTAGGTGTGGCTAAGGATCTGCTTCAGCTTTGGAATATGGGCAGTAGTTTACAAGAATCAGAAAACAATTTTCTGTGCCTCCCTTCTCTTTGCCAGGGACAGCTGGTATTGATATGTTCATGTAGCATGAGCAGAATAACTTTATGTCACTATAAGCCACCGAGATTTGAGGGCTGTTGGTTTCTGCAGCATAGCTTAGCCTTTCCTAAGGGATATAGAATAGATATAAATGCAGTTGACATGTATAACAGACATACTCATGTAGCCACACATGGAGTCCTCTTGTCATGTTCTACAATTAATTTCCAGAAGTTAATGGTTTAGTGGGATAGAGACAAAGCTCAGAACTATAGTCAATATCAGAATAGCTTTAACACACTGGCAAAAAGATCGAGAGGCATCTCTTCCATGTCATCATGAGAGTGAGAAACATGACTCCTAAATCTGTATTCCTGGCTGGAATTCTCATCTGTCAACAGGTGTCATTGTCACCCTGAAAAGAACCAGAGCAATCTCTCCCTCATCCTCAGGCACTCTCCTGGTGAGTTGTAGTCTGGGGCTGGCCTCAAACTGAGAACTCCTTGGGATATAGCATGCATCCCAAGTAGCCCTCGCTCTAGGGATTTTTTTTTAATCTGTACCTCAAGTCCACATAGAAGAAGCGCTCAAGGTTGATGCTAATCTTCGACACGTCATCTGTTCCCAAGCCAGCCTCTCCATGAAGGAATCAGTGATCTTCCAAATACTTTCTTTTCATAGCTGAAATAAACAATAAATATTATTTATTATTTTAGGAAGAAACACAGGATCTAAATCCCAGTAGTAATAATGACAATGGCCATTTTTTAAGGGCTTGCTGTTTGGCACTATGACACATGCCATTTTATTTAATCCTCACAACAATTTGATTAGGTAGTATATTATTAGAGTTCTCCAGAGAAACAGAACCAATAGAGATATCTGAGATGTATTGTAGAATTGGCTCACACAATTAATGGAGGATAAGAAGTTCCTCAGTATGATGCCTGCAAGCTGCAGAACCAGGAAATCTGGTGCCACAATTCAGTCTGAGTTTAAAGGCCTGAGAAACGGGAGCAGGAGCTCATAGTATAACTCAGAGTCTGAGGCCCAAGGCCAGAGAAGCTGGAGGGTGAAGATTCTTGCTGGTGTCAGTCTCAGAGTCCAAAAGCCTGAGAACCAAGAGCATTAATGTTCAAGGGCAGGAGAAGATGGACGTCCCATCTTCAGCAGACAGTAAATTCACGCTTCCTCTGCCCTGTCGTTCTATTCAGATTAGACAACGCCTACCCACATTGATGAGGGTGAGTCTTCTTTCCTCAGTCTACTGATTTAATTGCTGATCTCTTCCAGAAATATCCTCACAGACTCACCCAGAAATAATGTTCTGCCAGCTATTTACGCATGCCTTAGCCCAGTCAAATGGATACATTATTGGAAGGTACTGTCATTTTCTTTTCTTTTTTTCTTTTTTTGAGATGGAGCCTCACTCTGTCACCCAGGCCAGAGTGCAATGGCATGATCTTGGCTCACTGCAACCTCTGCCTCTTAGGTTCAATCGATTCTCCTGCCTCAGTCTCCTGAGCAGCTGGGACTACAGGTGCCCACCACCGCATCTGGCTAATTTTTGTATTTTTTTAGTAGAGACGGGGTTTCGCTATGTTGGCCAGTCTGGTTTCGAACTCCTGACATCAGGTGATCCACCTGTCTCAGCCTCCCAAAGTGCTGGGATTATAGGTGTGAGCTACCGTAACCAGGCCTGTCATTTACTTTTTCATAGATCAAAAAGCCAAACCTTAACGTGGTCAAGTAATTTGCTTAAGGTCAACCAGCCTAGAAGTGGGAAAAATTATGCAAACTCAAAAGCTGTTCTTTGCAAGGAGGTCCACTTTACTCCCCCTCCTGGCCATAATATTATATCTCAATCTCCACACCCAAGATATAAACCCTGGAGTTTTCCTTGTCTTCATTCTGTTGCCAGTGACTTGATTACATCATTTCTGGTCTGACACCAACACGGCTCCAGTATGTTCCCGGGGAGAATCAGGCCCCCAACACCTGCTAATTTCTTCCTGCCTTTGCAGAAGAGAGCCTGGGAACTTAACCTAAGGAAAAAAATAAATAAATAAAGTGATCCTAGGAGAAAAAAAACTCCTGGGATGTAGAAAAGTTATTTTCCTCTTTGATAATTCTGTGTAACTAACTAGTAACTGTGGAAGAGAAAAGTGATCTATGTGTTTGTTAGAGACTCTGGGGCCTGAGGCGGAAATAGACACTGTGAGACCAAGAAGGGGGCGGAACCAGAGGCTACAGCCAGGAAACAAAAGACAGGAAACAGGATTTCTTTTTTCCAATGTCCAAAACAAAGCTGATGAGGAGTTTGGCAGGAAGAGGGACCACCATTTCATCCTTCCAGTGGAAAAACGACTAAATGCTCAAAATTGAAGATATGTGGGAAGGGATGAGTCATGGAGAAACGGTGATATATAATCTTCTCTTTCTGAGAACAGTCACTTAATATTCCTGCTCAGCATTCTTTTATTATTTGACAGCAATCCTTGTGCCTCTCTATGGGAAGCCAGGAAGGGGTCAGAATCATCTCATGCTGTTTATTATGGGATGCACAGCTGGGAAGCTGTACTGTCTTCCCCTCCCCTCCTTTCGCTCCATGTATTGCTGTTCCCTCTTTCAGTTATGCCTCTCCCACTGTTAGCATAGGTAACTCTTGTTTATTTTTAAGTCTTAGCTTAGATGTCGCTTCCTCAAAGGAATTTTCCTTGATCCTTATTCTGTGGCAGAGTCGTTAGCTGCTTACCCAGGACCCATTTTCCTTTCTTTCTTTCTTTTTTTGTTTTCTTTTTAAGACAGAGTCTCACTCTGTCACCCAGGGTAGCGTGCAGTGGTGCAATCATAGCTCACTGTACCTCGAACTCCTGGACTTAAGGAATCCTTCCACCTCAGCTTCCTAAGTGGCCAGGACTACAAGCATGTGCCACCATGCTGCTAACTTTTAAAAATTATTATTATTATTATTATTTTGTAGAGATGGGGTTTTGTCATGTTGCCCAATCTGGTCTTGAACTCCTGGGCTCAGGCAATCTGCCTGACTTGGCCTCCCAAAGTGTTGGGATTATAGGCATGAGCCATTGTGCTGGGCTTTATTTGCATTTATAACCAAGCTTTCTGCTTAATATCTCCCAGGCTTGAAGCATATTGACTTTCCTTCACCAGCGGACATTATCCAAACAAAACATTATCCAAACAGCTCATATTTACTTGTATGTGTTGGAAAGAGCCATTATTATTGGAAACTATTTAGATTTTGTTTTAAAAATTTTTCTGGAAAATATTTTCAAATCATTTCTTTTGTGGGGAAAATGTCACTGAGATGAAATATTTGTCAAAGTGTGGTTGTACCTGTTCCCACTTATCATTTGATAAACTGCCATAGACAATGCACAGTCGTACAAAGCACATCGTGCAAACCTTAGCTGGTAATTATAAAAATGACCACTGCCCCTGATTTGTAAGCAGCCCCTGACTTAGTTTGGACTCTCCCAGAAGCAGATGTGGAAACAATGATTCAAGTGCAAGGCCTTCATTTGGGAAGTGGAGGGACACTGCTTCAGGGTTGGAGAGGTGATAGAAGAAAGGAAGACAGCCAAAAATGGTTGTGTTATTCAGCCAGCTACCACAGTGAGTGACGAGAGTCTAACCCCACAGAGATACTCTGGGGAATAGTATCCCACAAGAGGCATGGGGAGCTGGGGCACTTACCCACCAATTCCCATCAGCCATCAGCTACTCTCAGGGTATTAATTCCCTTGCAGCCTACAGGGCATGGCAGAGGGGCCTTCTATCCTTCTATGGTTCCCAGGAAATCCCTCATGCATGGAGATGCAGATATTGGCAGTAAGACGTGTCCACAGCACAATGAAATGATAAGGTCTGATGTGCACTGACAGCCCTAACCACAGCCCCCTTCAAGCGAAGTTCAGGCTTCAATGTCCTATTTCACAGGGGATGTAGAAGTTTTTAGATAATATAAGGACACATTTATTTTTTATTTTAATAGTTACAAATTAAGTTTCAACATTGCCTTCCACTTAATGCACAAGGTGCTGGTTTCCAGTTTGTGGTAGTGGTGAAATATACAGATTGCAAAAGAAATCAATTTTTTTAAAGGGCATCCATTGATTTAAGGTATGATGAAGAAAGGTTGGGCACGGTGGCTCATGCCTGTAATCCCAGCACTTTGGGAGGCCAAGGTGAGCGTATCACCTGAGGTCAAGAATTCAAGACCAGCCTGGCCAACATAGTGAACCCCAGTCTTTAGTAAATATACAAAAATTAGCTGGGTGTGGTGGCACATACCTATAATCCCAGCTACTTGGGTGGCAGAGGCAGGAGAATCGCTTGAACCTGGGAGGCAGAGGTTGCAGTGAGCTGAGATGGTGCCACTGTACTCCAGCCTGACTGACAGAGTGAGACTCTGTCTAAAAAATAAAACAAAATAAAAAGTACACTGTAAAAATAATTGTACAGATAGTAATAAATATGCAAAAGTAAGAGAGAAATGACTGAAGTTTGGAAAACTGTGATGGATTTTTTTTTCTTTCTTTCTTTCTTTCTTTCTTTTTTTTTTTTTTAAGATGGAGTCTCGCACTGTCACCAGGCTGGCATGCAGTGGTGCGATCTCCGCCTCCTGGGTTCAAGCAATTCTCCTGCCTCAGCCTCCTGAGTAGCTGGGACTACAGGTGCGTGTCACCATGCCTGGCTAATTTTTTGTATTTTTAGTAGAGACAGGATTTCACCACGTTAGCCAGGTTGGGGATATTTTCTAGGTAGTGAAAGGGAAGCATAAAGCCAGGCCACTAAGTATCTGTGAAGGAATATCTATTGTGTGCCCAGCACTTTTTTAGGCATCAAGAAGAATGTAAGAGACAGAGAAAGGACAAACCCCACAGTAAGGTTTTTACCAGTAGCAGTAGTAATAATGGCTAGCATTTAGTGGGATCTTTGGCTTACCATCACCTGACCTGCCTTCCTTAGGAAGCTCTACCAGCCTTCATAAAATACGTGAAACAACAAAGCATGCTCTATTCAGAGTATGAGGGTCAGGATTCCTAGAGGACGATTTCATTAAAATTTCAGAGGGAAAAGCAGCAGCATGGCAGGATGAGCAGAAACAGGACTGTGCCGACCTGGCAGTGGTCAGAGCCAGAGAACAAGGAAGACACAGCCTTAGGTTTTTCCTCCATGGACCCACCTCCCACTCCACTCAAGCTACAGAGCAGGACTCAGCATCTGGGAGCAGGCAGGATAAAGAAAGAGGAAGCAAGCTGCTGCTGAGTGTTGCCAAGCGACTCCCAAAATGTGCTGCCTTCAGAGGCTGTCTTATTGTGCAAGAAGACATAAAATCCAGATGGCAATTTCTGGATTCTCAACTTTCTATACAGAAGTCATATTTTTCCAATACATCCTAATTCTATTTACTGTGTGTATGGTGGCCACATGTCATTATCAATGGCCAGGCATGAAAATAAAGAAAGTAATTAGGCTAGGAAATGGCTCGGCAGCTGCATCAGCTATGTGCTCTTGGAATGGAGGTGCCGTGATCAGGAACCACTTCTGGGCTGCATTCAAGGGTTGTGTGGCCTCTGGGGACCAGTCACATATGTAAGCATAAATCTAGACTGACGGCAACATCACATTCAATCAAGGCCCAGTCTAACCAGAGG